TGGGAGCCAGCGGCTCACCCGCGCCAGCAGGCAACTGTTGGGGGGAACGGGGGCGGGGCGGGCGCGAAGACGGTTGAACCGCTTCCTTTGGACTCCCTTGAACTACAGGAAATCCGGAAAACAAATCAATGTTATCTGCCCAGGTCGACACGCAAAAGCGAGCGGACGAGTGTTGCCACCGCGGATACCTGACGCGCCCAAGGTGGGATTCGTTGGGTTGGAGGGCCAGTCGGACATGTGTAGCAATGCTCACTAATTCCAGATCAGGAAATGCAAGACGGAACCCCAGGTCCCGAAGCCGAGTGCACATAATACGGTTGGCTGGGAATCGAAGGCCAGCAATGAGTTTTTGGTGCACATCCAGCTGGCACTTCCGAACAGCACGAGAGATAGGGTAGAACTGCATCGCATATCGTAGCAGCGAGACAGCGAAAAGCACATACGTACGAGTAGTCATAGCCAGACCGAGCCGAAGACGACGAATCTGAATGCAGCGCTGGTGGTACTTCTTCAGCGCAGCGTGCCGCGCGCGCATATATCCTCCAGGCCCAGTTTGGAGCCCAAGATAACGAATGTGCCGCACAAGCTGGATCAACGAAGCACCAGGCCCCAGGGGCTCCAGGAGACGCCGTGCGCGCCGTGACATGCGCGGTGAGAGAAGCAGCCCACAATGCACCAAAACACATTTCTTAAGATTCAGAAAGAGACCAATCGCGCCATCCAAGCTCTGCAACAAAGGTAGAAAGAGAGGAAGCACGATAATAATATCGCGCACTGCATGCCAGAGATCGTCAGAGCATGCAAGAATCATTCTAGGTATACGTGAGCTGACCCATCGAATGCAAGGGTCGAACGCCAATGCGAGGAAAAGCATACTGGATGGGTCCCCCTTGGCGCGCGCCGCGATCCAGACGAATGCTCCCATGCCGTTTCTCACCGAAGCAAATGTGCCCCATACTCTCAGAGTAGAGCGCCTCAACGTAACCAACTACCCCAGGGTGTACTTGCATCAGAACCAGGATCCGAAGAAGCCAGGAGATAGCGATGCTCGGAAACGCTGCCGCAAAGTCCGTGAGGAACATGCATGAGAGACCCCTTCCCAACATAAGCTGCTGCAGCCCCCAAATCCCGGCACCGAGAATTTGATCCGTCATCGGGCACCCCTTGAGGCGCGCCCGAGCTCTCGACGCGGTCGCACGGGCCACCAGCTCTAACCTCCAAGAGAACACCCGTGACATAATCTCACAGCCAGCGCCGGCCATCGCAAGCGGTCGGCATGCCCCAGGAGAGCGGGAAGGAGAAGAAGAGAGATCAGATGGGGGGCCCTTCCGCAAGAAACACTAATAACATCTCACGCGCGCTCACAGGCAGGTCCGCGCCACGACGCCCCATCAGACGACAGTAGAGATCGCGCAAGAGAGCAATGGGCGCGGGGGGCTTCCATCGTGAGTGCGCCATCCCAGGGCCAGGCATGGAGTCTTTGCGCCCTCTAACGAGTTCCTCGAACGATTCCAGATCCAGATGCCATTGCTCGCCAGAAAGTCCAGGGCCAGGGGCAGCGTGATTTTCCAGGCCGGCCCAGAGATCAATATTGCACATGTTCACCAACTACCCACTCCCAATGAACAGCGAGGGCTTCGCCAGCTTCATCGGCAGAGGCACGTGGGCCCCGAAGTGGCCTCCAGAGTTCCTTGCGGCGTTGCAACCTTGCTCGCGTGCGCGCCTTTAAGTTAAGCCCCCCCCCCCCTGGTCCGCAACCATTTCCAGCTCCGACATGCGAGCGCGCTGCAACGTCTGAATGCGATCGCAGAGAGAAGGCAGCGAGAAGCAAATGTCAGACGAGAGGTCACAGGAACGCGCGAGCTAAGGGTAGCGCTGCACCGCGTCACTAACCCTCTGCAAGCTCCGTGCGCGAAGCCCGCGCAATGCTGCAAGTGCGAAGTGGATATGTTCATCTGCCCCTCAGCTAACGCGCGCTTCATGCGACGGCGAGTTTGGTTGGCAGCTTCCCACGCGCACTGCTCCACAAGACAGATTTGCCCCCCCCATTCCGCGCCAAACGGCCCATGTCTTTCAATAGAAATTCGAGTGCAGCATGAAAAATAAGGCGGGGCCCGACCCGCGATGACATTTTCTGAAAATCAGAGGGGGCAGAAGTCCAAGTCGCCACCGCGGGGATATGATCCGAAACCTTACCGGCGAATGTCGCTCGTCCAATCGCAGAACATGACATCGAGAAAGCAGCAGCCACAACAGATGGGTGGGCAGGATAGAGACGGTCAAATCGACTAACATGAACCAGCGCATGATTCAGAACTTCCCCCCGCGCAGGACCTGGCTGGTGGATTTCAGCCCACCGCGGGAAGAGCCGGGGAAACGAGGCGCGCCGATGCCGACCCCCAAGGCGCCACCCAGATCCGCCACCGCATTGTCTCCCGCCCCCCCCCCCCAAGGCAAAGTTGAAATCCCCCCCGATCAAAAGCGCGGCAATCCCAGCGTCACGCAGACATTCCTGGACACGCCCAAGCGCGCGATTGAACGCCCAGGTGGGCCCCCCCGAGGTTGGTAGATGCACATTGGGGGCCCAGAGAGAATCAAATCTGCCCGTGCATTTGGCAAGACGGGTGCGACCGTCTTCGGCCTTGCAGCGCCTAATGTCCGCGAAGAGAGAGAGAGAGAGAGAGAGAGAGAGAGAGAGAGAGAGAGAGAGAGAGAGAGAGCAGGGGGGATGGGGGGGTAGCAGTAAGAACACCACCAGCAATGTCCGACGAATGCCCCGAGAAGCCCGCAGTCCAGTTCCGCAAATCCTTCTGAATCGCATTCGCATCGCCAGCGGTTCGGTGCGTCTCTTGAATGCAAGGTATGCTTGCGCAACGGGGGCGCGCCAGTAACTTCTTGCGTCGACGTGATGCACGGAGAGAGGAAGCAGCGATAGCAGCGAGGAGTCCTCGAGAGTGCCAGATGAGAAGAACGGAAGAACAGGAGGGATGGGGCAGCAAAAGGCAGAGACATATCACGCGGCGACCCCGAGCCGTCGCTGCTGCATGAGTCAGAATGTGACTAGTCAGAGGACGAGCTAGACCCCGAGCTCGAACTGGAGGAGAGATTAAACACACTCCCGCTCAAGAGTGACGGCCTCATGCTGGCTCTGCTCAGCCGAGGGGCCCAGACGCGAAACTGACCTTAATATCGACCCCAAAACAAATTTCGGTCTAGCCCATTGGGCTCGAAATCAAAAGGGACGCGCGCGCGCAGTCTCAAACGCATCCGGGAATTTCTGCGTAAGTGGGACCGTATCAAGGCCAAGGGTCCTCAAGCCCACTTCGTCAGCTTTTATCTGAATTACATCCTGCTCCTGGGGGCAACAATAGAGATGAAACAGCGGGACCGGGTCCTCTGACGACCGAAGACCAAACATCACCTCCGATCCCTTTCGAATTAGCCTGAAGGCCTTGCTTACTCAGCTCTTCCTGAACTGCAGCACGCGCTTTCCCCATCTTAAAGAAGAAAAGCCAATGCTGATAAGAAAGATTCCGACGGCCACTAAGAGGCCAGACTTCCGCAAGGGCACGGGGGTTGGGGAACGAATAGCCCTCGCTCAACTTCCTGAAGTTCCCCGGGAATTCAGAAGCCATGGCTGGGGGCGGGAAGTCGAGGGTGACCTTCATCTGCAAATCGCACGCACGCGCCCGAATGAGACGAGCAGCTTCCGCGGTCGCACACTTCGAGACGATATGTTTGACCACGCGCTCGAGTCGATGCCATGAGGCGGTCCTGGAATCCGTGCATGAGCAACCTATGCGCATCCTCGAGACTGGCAACAGATGCGCCTCCTCCTCGTCCTCCTGCCGACGTCGATCCGTCCCCCACAGACCCACCATCCACTGCGCGACGCTTGCCCGACTGCACGACGTGTGACATAGGACTCCGAAACATTGCAAGCTGATGAGCGTGCTCGGTCTTTTTCTGTGATTCGTGGATATGATCGATGCGGGTGGTCATCTCCTTGAGGGACTGACCTTGGATATTCAATCGATCGTATAGCATTCTCGATGTGGCTTCAAGAGTGGCTGCAAGGTGATCTTGCAGCATCTTCTGGATCTCCTCAGCGCTTTCCATGCCTAGATATGAGGATTGGGGCAGCACGGGGCGGGGGAGCTCGCACACAGGATAAAACAAGTTTTATCGGAGCCGCCTGAGGCTAAAATAACCGCGAGCCTGGCCTTCGGCAGCGACCAGACACGAAGCGCCAGGCCGCACGTTTCGAGTTTGAGCCGAAATGGCAACGGACGCTGATGGTGATGATGCTGATGACGATGATGATGACGGGAGGAGGGAGGAAGGGGGAGGAGGAGGAGAGGAGGAGAGGAACGCGGGGCGACGTCTCTTCAAAACGAGGACCCAGCACCACAGGATGGTTGGGAAAAACGCTCTTTTCTCGCACTGGAACGGAAAGCTAGGGCCAAGGATTCATCAGGAGGGGACTTGGCTTGGCACGGGTGGACGTATTGCAGGGTCGGTGATGCATCCTGGGCGTACTCTGGTCTTCCTCTTCCTCCTCTTCCTCCTCCTCCTCCCTCTCCTCCTCCTCCTCTTCTCCTCCTCCTCTTCCTCCTCCTCCTCCTCCTCCTTGGACCCAAAGACCTTTCAACATCTCTCCCCAGACCCCGCCCAAGCTCCGTCCTGGCAACTTCTTGGAACTACGTCCTGCCGCGGCGACAAGAGGCACCGGAAACGCCTCGTCTGGAAGAAAACGACAACAGCACATATATAAACTTTTCACGATCCGCGTGAATTTCTGGGATGCCCGCTGGCGCCCCAGCGCCAGGCGTACCGCCGGAGGCGCTGCCAGGGGGGTCCAGCGCAAATCCGAGAAAGCTGCGCGCAACGTCAGAAGTTAATGACTATGCAACCTGTATTCTATCTTTCGGACCTCTTTCCCTCGTTGTCGTCGTCTTCTCTGCCCCCCGAACCGTGGCTGATCTGGCGGGCGCAGGCACTGTTCCAGCCTTTTGCGCCTCAGCTCCTCGAGGTCGTCCTCCTTGAGGTTGTCGAGCCGCGCGATCTCCTGGGCTCGGGCGGACTTCCCCGTGGGTCTGGTTCGAGGAGGGGTTCGACCACAAGAGACCTTCCACAAGGAACCGGAACCTGAGACCCATGGACGTCCACTGATTTCTTGTGTGGGAACGTCACGCTCTCCATGGCAAAACCGTCGAGACACAAGAAATCCAGGGCACCCTTGAGGCAAGCAAGGTGTTTCTGCCCATGGGTTCCCACAGTAAGCTTTTGACGCTCCGGGCGAATAGCGCGCTAGGGGCGGCGCCGGAGGCGCCGCCAGGGGGTCTCAGCGCAGATTCATGAAATCCGCGAGGACCTCCAACATTTTATGTTTACTCCTTTTGTTCTTCGACTGACCATGCCGCGCCCCCCAAGGCACTGGCCCGAAACAAACATGTATCGAGAGAGCGGCGGCAGCCATGGGCCCTGGGAGGCCGAGGACGACGGACAAAAACCTCGGGACCCGTTCCCCCTGACATTTGCGATCGAATGCTTTCAGTCCGTGGGCCCCAGAGGTCCGAATCGCTCTCCCATGGGGTAGCTCTACGGCCAAGACGCTGTACTAAGGACTGCCTGGGACTCAGGAAGGGGCTCGGGTTCTCGGGCCGCTCCTTAGATTCATGTAGTGTTAGGTCGGGCGTGTCCTCGTACTGGCGGATTTTGGACGAAAAATGACGAATTTTCCAAACAAAAATCCGCCGACCCCGTGGGGTCACGGCCTGTGAGAAGCTTCCCCCTCCCAAAACACCTCCCCCGGCAGCCCGGTCCGGCCAGTTTGGAGGTGGAGGGGCAGCAAAGGTGCCGGCCGCACCCTTGGAGCCTCAGAGGGGCCCTTAACGGGCCAAGAGGGCCACATAAGGCCCCCCAGACGGTCCAAGAGGGCTACGAGTCGCCGAAAGATCGCTCCAAGACGCCCAAGATTGCCTCCAGACGGTCCCGGAGGCCCCCAAGACGCCCCAAGAAACCACCAAGAGGCGACCCAAGAGGCCCTCCAGAAGCAAAAATCGTCCCATTCCCGAAGGGAAACTTATATTGTTAGCACATTCGCCTCTTGGGCTTTCACGAGGCCCAGATGGGCCCAAGAAGCCTTTAAGATCGACCCAAGCTAGCCCATGAGGCCCCCAAGAGGGCTCCAAGACGGCCCAGGAGGGCCCCAAGACGGCCCCAGAAGCCTCCACAACGACCCAGGAAGGCCCCAGGACGGCCCCAAAAGGAGGCTTAGAGGTGGAACCCGAATGAACATTTCGAGCACTCGGCCCCCCCAAAAAACCGGAGGAGGCGCCAATCGGCCCCCAAGAGGCTCCCACGAGGCCGACGAGGCCCCCGAGAGGCCCGAAAGATGCTCCTGGAGGCCTCAAAACGGCTCCCAAGAGGCCTCAAAAATGCTGCCACGAGAGCCCAGAGAAGCCCAAAAACAGAGCGGCGATCCGCCAACCGCCCCCGACGACATCCCAAGAAGCTGAAACCGCAAGATTCACCAGAAATCGTTCCACAAGCTTTGTTTTTCAGTCTTACTGCCGCCCCAAGGGGTCGGCGGTGCTGCGTCAGCCAGTGAACCAAAAATGGTCAAACGACGATCCAAAAATCGTCCCCTGACAATTTGGACTAGTTTTGAATATTCCTCCTGTAGAGGGACAGGCCCTTAGAGGGCCCCGGAAACGACAAAGCCGTTTTTGTTACCGGTTCCGTTTTGCCGTTTTTTTGCCGGTTCCGACGCCGTTGTTTTGCCGGTTCCGTCGCCGTTCTTTTACGGCTTCCCGCTCCGGTTCCAATCCTGGAGCCGTTTGTGTTGCCGTCTCTGGTCGTCGTCTTTTTTGCCGTTTCCATTTTCAAGTGACACGATTTCGGAAACGGCGGCAAAACGGCCCTGCCGTTTCCGGGGCCCACTAAGGACAGGCCCGCCTTGAATTTCTGTCGTGGATTACCAGTTTGAAGCATATCCCTATCCCTCTGTTTGCCATCACCGCATCTCGATGCCGATCTTAGGGATTCCCTCAGTTTCTGAGGGCCTCCTATCCCTGGGATTGCCCTCGCTTTTTGCTCGCCCATCTCAGGGATCGAATTAGTGGATCGACTACAGAATTGATTTACCCCGAAATTGATTTCTTCATCGAAGCGATTGAAATTATGTAGCATGCTCAGTACATCTACGGAGCATCCTACGACTTCCTCGCAGATTCAACGGGAAATCAATTCTGGGGTAAATCAATTCTGTAGTCGATCTCCTACTCGAAGGGATAGGGATAAGCTCGAGGCTGGTTCGTGGAACCTGCTCGTGACCCGGGCCCGCCGTGGCCAGGGCAAGACGCCCTCCTTCCTCCTCCGGCGCATCTTCCGGCGGGGCGCTGGCGACGCGCCCCGGAGCCACGCCCGCTGGTGCCGGAGGCCTGGAGCTCGGCACCACCACCAGCACATAGGGGAACAACAAATGCCATACTCCAGAGTTCGTAATAAAAGGGAGGGGGTCTCAACCATCCCAGACGAGAAGTTTTAGACCCCCCCACATCGTCCCCAGAACCCCCAGGCCCTCCAAGATAACCTGGAAGAGACCCCCCCCCCAAATGAGACCCCCCTCCCTTTATTACGAAATCTGGGGTATACTTTTTTTGATCTGCAGGGCGAGAGCGAGCCTCTTCCGCTAGAAGCTCCGCGGGACGCGCACAGCTTTGACTGACAGAGGGGGAACAAGAAGTGGCATGAACATAAAAACTCGGAGGTCCGCGCGGATTTCGCGGATCGGCGCTGGGGCCCCCCTTGCGGCGCCTCCGGCGCCGCCCCTGGCGCGCTCCGCGCGCCAGGGAGGGGGGGTCCAGCGCCGAGCCGAGAAATCCGCGCGGACATCCGAGTTTTTATGTTTATGTGACTTTTTGTTCCCCTAGGGTTGCCTCCGGCATGGGGAAGATTATCCTGGATTTCGGTGTTGGTGGTAATCATTCGGTCGCCTTGGAAGCGAGAATGTTTACCACCATCACCGAGTTCGGGATCGTCTGGCCTCGGTGGAAGCACACCGCCACTCTTGGTGTAGGTGTCAACCTCTAGGCCTGCGATGGTGGGGCCTGGTGACACAAGAACAACTCCCGGACTGAAAAACGGGGATCTTCTGACCCAGGCCAATCCAGACCTGGGTCAGTCAGGCCTTGCAAAATCCTGCAAGATCCTGCACCCAAGCCCGGGTCCATGCGAATGATGCTGCAAGATCCTACACCCAAACCTGGGTCAATGCGCCCCTGGCACTGCAAAATCCTGAAAGATCTGGCGCTCTGGCGGACCCCCGTCTGCATTGACCCCCGTCTCAAAGCTCCCGAGAAAAACAACATGTCGGAGATCCGGGTTTCCCTCAGGACCCGATTCCTTCACTTGGCGGCGCGCACAAAGCGGCAGGGGGAGAGGGGAAGGCCTCTTAGATAGAGCCTGCTTCTTGGAAGGCGCCGGCCCTACACCCTGCGAAATGCTTTAGAAATCATGGGTTAAGAAATTCGTAGTCTCTGAACTTGAACAAAAACCCAACATTTCTATTAAAAACTTAAGATTTGCATTGAAACGTTAAGAATAATCGAGACTCTGGCCGAAAACTTAGGTTTTCTTAAGCATCGCCTGAAGTGTACATGCACAGATGCAGGGCCCGCGCCTTCTAAGAAGCAGGGGTGCTCCTGCGAAGCCATCCCCCCTTCCCTGCCCCCGAGTGGCCGATCCTCCTCCCTGCCTCCCCACGCCGACCTCGACAACTACAATCATCGTGCTACCAGGAGGATCGCACGATCAGGGACGAGGGCGCTTCTCTAGCCACGGCGGGCTCAGGCCACAAACAGGCTCCACGACGTACACGTTGAGGGACGGCCCGAAAATCTGAGCCCCTCCTGAGCGCAAAGCGGTCCTTCTTTCCGCGTCTTGACTGCACCTCCCCACGCCGACTCGGACCACTGCCTCTGCAGGCTCAGGCCCACCCGCGCTGGCCCCCGAGGCCCCGCCCTGGGCGGACACAGACGCGCTCCGCTCCGCTGAGGACCCGCTGGCTTCATGGCGACAGGCTTCTGGACGCCCGACATGGGCACGGAGAGAATGGGCACGATGCCCACCAGCAGCTCCTGTTTATTCTGAACAGGGTTCGCTGTCCACGGCGCCGCGGCCTGTGTCCGCTCGAGACAGAGGGCCGCCCGCTCAACAGCGGCCGCTGTTGGTTCGGGACAACATGTGCTGCTGGGCATTGCAACAATTTTTCCGTACACCTTAGGCGATGCTTAAGAAAACTTAAGTATTCGGCCAGAGTCTCGATTATTCTTAACGTTTCAGTGTAAATCTGAAGATTTTAATAGACATGTTGGGTTTTTATTCTTCAAGTTCTGTGACTATGAATTTCTCAACCCATGATTTCTTAAGCATTTCGCAGGGTGTACCCATTTCGGGCGTCCGAAAAGCTGGGCCCCGTCACCGCTCGGCGCGCCGGCGCCGCGCGCGGCGGCGGTCCGCGTCGAGGTCCGCCTCGCGCTCCGCCGCCGCCGCTACCACGACCTGCGGCCCGCGCCAGGGGAGACGAGGGAGCGAGGCAGAGAGCGGGGCCCTCCTGGGTCGTCGCCCCTGCCCCCAGATGGTCGATCCTCCCTCCTTCCACGGTGCAGTCGGGGCGTTGACCTAAGGAACCCTAAACAAGGAACGAGACCCCCGTTTTCCATAATTCAAGCTTCGATTGCCCATCGAGAACACGAGGAACACCTGAGGCAAGCTGCGAAACACTGAAGGAACACGGAGCCCCTCCCCCACGAAAAGGGCTCCTTCTTCAGCGACCCGACTGTAGGGTGTTGCATGTTTGGGGCGGGTGTTGCCAGGGGCCGAGGAAGAAATCTGCACGAGCACAACGTGAGGAATCAGCGAACCCGGTAAAGAACTGTAGTCAGACTTTCTTATTGTCACGCGTCTATATTTTCCCGCTGCTGGAATACCACCACCATCTCCTGCTCTTCCTCCTCCTCCTCCTCCTCCGCCTCCTCCGCTTCCTCCTCCTCCTCCTCCTCCTCCTCCTCCTCCTCCTCCTCCTCCTCCTCATCCTCCTCCTCGACCTCCACCTCCTCCTCCTCCTCCTCCTCCTGCTCTTCAAAGCCACCACCACCACAACCATCCACCACCACCACCATCAGTACCACTTGGACCACCACCATCAGCTCATCATCATCATCATCATCAGCACCATCATCACCATCACCATCAGCATCAGCATCAGCACAATCACCATCACCATCATCATCCTCATTAGCATCCTCATCCTCATCATCATCCTCATCCTCATCATTAGCATCATCATCATCACCATCAACATCAACATCACCATCACCATCATGTGTAACCAGCATCATCAGCAGCATCAGCATTACTATCACCATCATAATGTTCATCGACATCATCATCGAAGTCAACAGCATCATCATCATCACCATCATCATCATTGAAATCATCATCCGTATCAGCAGCATCGTCATCATCACCACCATCACAACTATCACCATCACCATCATAATCATAAGAATCATCGTCATCAGCAGCATCGTCATCAGCCGCAGTGACATACCAATCGTCATCGTTATCGTCACCGTCATCGTTAGCACCACAACCCTCATCACCATCATCATCAGCATCATTAATGTCAATGGCATCAGCATCATCATCAGCATCATCAACATCGTCATCATCATCATCATCAGCATCGTCATCGTCATCATCATGATCAGCAGCAGCACCATCATCATCAGCATCATCATCATCACCGTCCTCCTCCTTCTGCTCCTCCTCCTACCCCCCTCCTCCTCCTCTTCCTCCTCCTCCTTCCCCTCCTCCTCCTCCTCGTCCTCCTCCTCCTCCTCATCATCATCATCATCATGAGCAGCATCATCAGCATCATCACCCCCACCACCATCACCATCAGCATCATCATCATCGCCACCACCATCACCATCAGCATCAACATCATCAACACCACCATCAGCATCATCAGCAGCATCATGATCATCATCATCACCATCATCATCAATCATGTTCAGCATCATCATCACCATCACCAGCATCATCATCATCACCGCCACAACCATCAGGACCACCACCACCACCATCACAATCATCATCGCCATCATCATCGTCATCATCAGCATCCTTATCATCATCATCATCATCATCATCATCATCATCACCATCGTCGTCGTCGTCAGCAGCATAATCATCAGCCGCAGCGGCATAACACTCGTCATCGTTATCGTCATCGGTATCGTCAGCATCACCATCACCATCACCATCATCACCATCATCACCATCATCACCATCATCAAAAGCATACTCACTACCAATACCATCATCATCATCATCGTCATCATCATCATCATCATCATCATCAGCATCGTCATCATCACCATCATCGTCGTAGTCACCAACGTCATCGTTATCAGCCTCATCATCAGCATCATCATCATTCCGTCGCCTGCCACTATTTGTCAATCTGTGTCGCTCGTCCGCCTTCTTATCCCTAGGTGTCTGTTTCTTCTCATCCCCCTCCCCCTCCTCTTCTTCCTCCTCCTCCTCCTTCTTCCCCTCCATCCACTTTCCTTATGAATATCTCCCCCCTGTCGCACCACGAGGTCCGTCGGAAGGGCGGACCAAGCGTTTCGCCCGCCTGAGACTTCCTCAACCTCCCCAACAGACGCCTGTCAAGCTGTGCCAAATCCTTCACGGGATTCTGGACGGAGTCTCCCCAAGCAATACCTGCCAACATGTGCAGAAATCGTTCGGCGGGATTGGAAACTGCATCTCTCCAGCCAACATTTGCCAGAGTGCGCCAAATCCCGAGCGGGATTTGGAACTGCGTCTCCCCAGCCAAGCGCTGCCAGCATGTGCCAGATCCTTCGGGATGCGGAACTGCGCCTCCCCAACCAACACCAGCCAAAAGGCGCCGCGTCTTTGATTCGGAACGGCGCCTCCCCAACCAATACCTGCCAACATGTGGCAAATCGTTCGGCGGGATTTGGAACTGCGCCCCCCCAACCAACACCTGCCAAAATGTGCCAAATCCTGAATAGCTGGAATTGGAACTGCGTCCCCTCCAACAATACTTGCCAAGACTGTGCCGAATCCCTCGGCTAAATTTGGAACTGTGTCTCCCCTGCCAACACCTGCCAACACGTACCAAATGTTCAGCGGGATTTGGAAGTGCGTCTCCCCAACCAATACCTGCCAACATGTGCCAGATCCTTCGGCGGGATGTGGAACTGCGTCCCCCAGACCAACACGTACAAGCATGTGCCGAATCCTTCATCCCCGGGCCGAGCCTGTTTGCCGCTTGGAAACAGCATGTGACAGCATCTAGGGATCCAATTGGATCCCTTCCCCGGTGTGTACTCGCTTCGTGGATCCCATTTTTGCGTTGCGCGGATTAAATTCCCCGTGCGTGAGCAAAACCAATGGATCCATCTATCCTGCTGGAAAAGAATCATAACGCGAATTAATTTCCTGGACCCACAAGAAATTTGATCGCCGTGGCACTGCACGCGAAGCATCATGCTTTCCACGGAGCTGTGGCTCTGCAGACCAAATTCTACGGGGAAAGGGTTTTCCTAGGCTAGGGTGGAGAAGGAGAGAGGGGGACGGAGGCGAGGGGGGATTATCGGAGGACAAGTGAGAAATGAGGGCGAGGGGGAGGGAGGAGGGGAGAGGAGGAGGAGGAGGAGGAGGAGGAGGAGGAGGAGGAAGGAGGAACAAGGGAAGCGGAGGGAGGAGGCAGGAGGGAGGAGAAGGAGGCAGGAGGGAGGGGGAGGAGGACGAGAGGGAAGAGGAACAAGAGGAGGGATAACAAGGAGGACAAAGACAAGCAATGTGTCAAGGTCGAAAGCTCGAGCGCCACAGCGGGCGTAGCCACTTCCCCGAGCCCCCCCCCCAGACAAAAAACATGTGGATGTTCGAGCGCCACAGCGGGCCTGGCCATCACACGAGCTCCTCCCATACCATACGGTTGCTCGAACGCCACAGCGGGCCGGGCCAACTCCCATAACATGCGGCACGCCCCGATTCGAAGCGAGCGCAACATACATCCATTCACCTGAACGGCACGGCGCTTCCGACATCTCGGGCTCAAGAGGAACATCTCTCGGCCCGCGTAGGTGAGCAGGGCTTTCGACTTGGGGCCCCACTCGGGGATGCACGCTGGGGGGGCGCCCATCCTCGATTGGGGCGCGCCCGACTAGCCCCTTGGGGGTGCATTCCAGGGTTTCCCTTTTTTTGAGCGGCCTGAACTCTTCGGGCGGAGTTCGGGACTGGGAGAGAAAATCGCCCGCGATGGGCGACGACGGCGGCGGCGGCGATGAACGACGGCCTCGCGGAGGGGCCCCTCCATCTGGGGCTGCGGCGAGTTTCGCGGAGGGCCGGGCCTCTGCGAGCGCGTCGGCGACGTTCTTCTGCTGTCCCTCTTCCATGGCTTTCTTGGCCGGCCGGGGGTCCCAGGGAGGTGCGGCAGCGGCCACACTCAGCAGCACTTCGAGCCTCGCCTGCACAGCCATGCCGTTCCTCTTCTTCCCAACCCTCCCGTGTTGGATTCTCGCTTGAGTAGAGCACGGTGGTCTTCACCCCGCCCTCCTCCTCTCCCTCCTCCTGCCTCCTCCACCGTCCTCACCACCGTCCCCACCACTGTCCCGCTGACCCCAGCACTGTCCCAGTGTCCCCTCACCACTGTCGCCACCACCACCGTCCCCACCACTCTCCCCACCACTGTCCCACTGCTCCTCACTGTCCCCACCACTGTCCCCACATTCACCACCAGTGCCCGCACCACTGACGCAGTCCCCACTGTCCCCACCACTGTCCCCACCACTGTCCCCACCACTGTCCCCACCACTGTCCCACTGTCCCCACTGTCCCCCACCACTGTCCCACTGTCCACACCACTGTCCCACTGTTCCCACTGTCCTCACCGCTGTCCCATTGTCCCATTGTGCTGCCCCACTGTCCACACTGACCCCACCACTCTCCCCGCTGTACCATTGTCCCACCACCGTCCTAACCACCGCCCTCACCACTGTCCCACCGTCCCCACAGTCCCCACCACTGTCCCACGGCTGTCCCCACCACCACCGTCCCCACCACTGTCCAACTGTCCCCATTGTGCCCACCTCTGTCCCACTGTCCCCAGTGTCTCCACCACTGTCACCACTGTCCCCGCCAGTGCCCCCGCCACTGCCCCCTCTGTTCCCATCACTGTCCCCACCACGGTCCCACTCTTCCCACTGTCCCCACTCCCCACTTCCATTCCCACCCCCGTCCCAACCACTGTCCTCACCAGTCCCCCATCCGGAGAAAGGGGTTCGAACCGGTAGTGACCCCCCCCCCGGTTTTCCAGGAGGGGGGGGGAAGGGGAGGGGTTTCGAACCAGTAGTGACGCCCCCCCCTTTCATGATGGACCGGGGGGGGGGAGGGGGGGTTGGAACCCCCAATGACCCCCCGGTTTTCGAGAGGGAGGGAGGGGGGAAACGGGTTGGACCCCCCCAGTGACCCACCCGGTTTTCTGCCAGCAGACGGTAGAACACGCTCTTTCCAACATGCACACCCCTCACGCAACTCGTGCCTGACCGACGCCCGGGTATACAGATTTTGAAACCCAGGATCGCTCATGTCGGCGCATCCCTCAAGCTGTACATCAGTTTCAAACTCTTTCCTTCTAAACTGCTGCACAGGCACGGTGGCGGGGTCTACCGCATGCAACTGGATAATCCCAGTCTGGCAAATTGGCCATCTGATTATTTCGGCTGCGGGCTCACACATTTGAATCCTTTCATGGTGCTTTTTCAAATCGAGGGCCCTGGGAGCAAGCCAAAATGGAGCTACAAATGAATTGCCCAAGTGGACCCCATCAGGGTCGTGATTTGTTGCATTAGGTGCGGCAGCAACAACAAAAACAGTGGATACTGAGGCGAGGTGCTCATTTGCTGGACCTCGCCCAAGGCCCCTCGGTGTTCAACGTGCACGGGCTGCCATTCTTGGCCGATGCAGCATCTGCTTGCTTGTTTTCCACTCGGTGCGCTTGTGAGCGAAATCGCGTTTAAGCGAACGCGCGCCGTTGTGATGACTGTGCGTGCTGTGTCGCGTGCAGCTGGCAGGCTGAAGCATAAACGTGTCCACTTTCTGCATTCGAATGTCAACATGATCTAATCGCTTCGACATGATGGACCAGCGTGACCTCCCCACAAGTACTCGAGGTCCTACACACATTCGCGAGAATCATGCAAGGACGAAGGACGATACTGGAGACTTGAGCCACTCAAGCCATGCTGTCAAACCACATGCAACTTGTACAACGATCAACTGCCCAAACACACTCAAGTCCATATGACCACAATTGTGTTCGGATCTGGGTGCTGCTGAACGCTCAGCCACTATTTTCAGACGCAGCCACCACGGCGATACAAATGATGGCTGGCGAACCCTTTGAGACACAGAGGGCGGCTGTTGACACTCACCCAACAGTGGGCTGGTCAGAAAAACTAACTCGTTCAAAAAGCATAGTGAAGAAACTGCAATCCCAGGCTGCTCGCCGCTAGGCCTTGTGGATTGTACGCATGTGGCGCCTGGACGAGGCTGGGGAGGATGAGAAAAAGGCGACGACGTGGAACGGGGGCAAGCTCTGGGAGAGGATGGAGGGGAGGGGAAGGGGAGGAGAGCTAAAAAGGTGCCCCGGCGGCAGAGGACGATGTGGGGGTGAGGCGGATGAGGACAGGAGGTTCCAGGAGGGGTGGGAGGCGGGCGATGGAGGGCCGAGGGACCGCACGGGACATGACCACCCTCACGACCAAGGCCGTTCAGTGGACGCAGTCAGCGAGGTAAGCGAAGAGGACAGGGCCGCAGTGATCGCGCAGGACCGTTTCGCACACGCCGGTCGCGGGCATCGGGGGCATCGGGAAATCGGATCGAATCAGAACGTGCGTCGGATCGGGCCGCATCGGCGTGGAATCGGAATCGAATCGGATCGGCTGCGCCAAGACGCACAGCAACGCCATGCGAGCAGGAGGCCGCATCGGATCGCTGGGAAATCTGAATCGAATCGGATCGGGCCAGCCAAAATCGGTATCGAATCGGATCGATCGGATTGAATGGCACCTGGGGGGTGGGGAGAGGTGAATCGCCAAAGATGAACATGAAGAAGACGGGTCCCGAGGGAAGCAGAGCCATGTACACCCAGCGGCTCCCCTCAAGGCTACAGTCCTCGTCCTACGAGTCCTACAGAAGAGACGCCAAATAAGAACCAAGGGGCTTTTCTGGCCACGGCGAGCCTTGGCTTCGAGTAGGTTCCCCGACCTAGATCGTAGCCCCTCTTGAGCCCGAGGCGATCATTATGTCAGCATCATGACTGCAGCTTTTCGCCCTGAGACCTTTTCCATGTGGTCTTCCGGGTTCCTCCCTTTCACCCATGGGTGATTTTCGGGCGGATACGGCGAAGTTCAAGGAAGGGTTTGGCCTGTAGCGTACCAGCGATGACCGACGACGACGACGACGACGACGACGACGACGACGACGACGACGGACCACCGACGATCAGCATCACTGTCACCTGGTCCACGTGTGCGGGAGAGGCGTTTCAGGAGCGTCTTGCAGGCGTCATGGGGGCGTCCTCGGGCCTCGACATTGGGTGGGCAGGTGGGGGGGTGCAGCCAGGGCCACGTGTTCCGAAGGGCTGTTCGGAGCATGGAGGACGAAGGGCTTCTGGCGGGCTTCTGAGGGTCTGTGTAGGAGGCTTCCTGCGAGCTCGGTTGGGGTTTCTCGGGAGCTTCTCGGGTCTTTCTGGAGCCCTTTTGGGGGCTTCTTGGGGCGTCGTGGAGGCCTCCTGGGAGTCTCTTGGGGCCTCCTGGGTGCATCTTGGGGCAGAGGGCGCCTCTGTTCGGGCATTTTGGGGGCTCTCTGGAGCCTCCTGGGAATATCTTGGGCCAGCATGGGAGCCTCTGGGGGGGTCCGGGGCCCCTGCTGAACCCTCTTGGAGCCCTCAAGGCCCCCCCGGACCACCATGCGAACCAGAGGTGACAAATCTGGGCCCATCCCGCCACCGTGTCTGGGTTGTGGGTTAGAGGCTTCTCGGATGTTCGCTGGGATGATATCGTGGGATGCCTCTCGGGGGGCCTTTTGGAAGCAGGTTTGAAGCCTCCACGGGGGCGTTGTGGAGCTTGTCGGACCTCGCTTAGGCATCTTTGGGGCCTCTTTCGAGCCTCTTGGAGCTACTTAGGGGCCTCTTGGGGCCTCCTGGGGGCCTCTGGGGGCGGGAAGCTCGAAAGGTCGGTTCGCGTTCCCTCTCTTGGGCCCATCTTCGAGCCGTCTTCAGGCCCTCTTCAGGCCCTCTTGGGCCGTCTTGGGGGTCTCTTGGGCCGATCATTCGGCCCTCTTGGGCCGTCTTGGGGGCCTCTTGGGGCGAGTTTGGAGGCTTCTTGGGCAGTCTTGGAGTGTCGGCCGCTCGAAAACGTGAGAAAGCAAACACTATTGGAAAACAATGAAAATTAAGAACTTTAGAGATGAACATCCATATTTTGGAAACAATACTGGAGAAAGCAGCGTGAGAAAATGAGAATCAATGATTTTGGCGTCTTGGGGCTCTGCTGGAGGTGCTCGCGGGGCGACCTTGGGGCCTCCTTGGGGGCCTCTTGGGCCGATCGTGGGGCCAGCTTGGGCGGCTCGGAGCGCTCTTGGGCCGTCTTGGCGGCCTCTGGCCGTCTCCAGACGCCTAAGGTGGACGCCTCGGGGAGGCGGCAAAAGTTCCGCGACTCCGACAACGGCCCCTGGATGCCAAAAATGGCCCCCGCAGCCCACGGGGCAAATTCAGTTAGGGGGGGGGGAGTTTGGGAAAGGTCTGCGGCCCCAGGCCGCGGGGCCCCAGACGCCGCTTGTATTATGTATCAGGTAGGAGTGCGTTGAACATATGCTGGGTGCCGCACGCACCCTGGAAGGGAGCACGGGGAACCCTTCGGTTCTTGATTGAGGAGAGGCGCCCAAAATTGATTGGAGTACGACACCCAAATAATCTATGCTGCCAGCGAACGGCGGGTATGCAATGTTGATCTGTCTTCGAACCTGAGGGCCCGTTTCCCTCAGGAGGAAGACGAGGAGGGGGATGGGGAGGGAGAGGGGGGGAGGGGAAGGGGAGGAGGAAAAGGAGGAGGGGGAGGAGGACCCGTTTGCCCCATGGCGAAGAGGGAGCCCCCGACGCGGGCGCTCAGGCCCACCACGGGTCGAGGCCGGTGCGGAAATCCTGCTGAGGGGGAACGCCAAGGGGGGACTGGCGCAACGGGGGCAAGCATCGACCTGGAATCGGCGTACATCGCCGACAGATCGGCGATAGCCGGGGGCGCGCAAACGTGGATTAGCGATGCATGGATTTGGCGCGCGGTCGCCAAGTCCATGGATCGGGGGAGGTGCCCTCCCCAAGATGCGGCCTGTGCCGCCTCGTGCGGCGGCCGACATCTTCAATTCCCCGTGGAAGCGGGACCCGTCAAAAACTATTTAGAAGCCAAGGAGGAGGACGAGGACGAGGAGGAGGAGGAAGAGGAGGAGGAGGAGGTGGAGGAGGACGGTGAGGACGAGGAGGAGGAGGAGGTGGAGGAGGAGAGGGGGGAGGAGGAGGAGGAGGAGGAGGAGGGTGGTGAGGAGGAGGAGGGTGAGGAGCCAATCCACGCCCCCTCGACACATGCTCGCGATCGCCCGAGATAGGCCCACGAGAGTGGCATCGCACGATCGTGGGCGGGCCGGGGTATCGCCAAGTCGGGCCCGTCCCCCTGAAGGGGGATCTGGGACGAAGAAGTGTAAATACAGGATTCGGCCTGACCTAAGGAACGATAAGTCAGGAACGAGGCCCCTGTCTCTCGAGGGAACACCAGGGAGGCTCGCCGCCAGAAAGGTAGCGGAACGCATGCGAACCGAAGGAACGGCCGAGCCCCTTTTGAAAAGTAAGTGTTCCTTAGTCAAGCCGCTCGCTGTAATCAACAAGTATTCCAAAAATGCTATATAACAAATTGTCCCCAAAGAGGTCTCTCGACTATTTTTAGGCCATTCTTGAAGATTCCTCCTGCAGAGGGACAGGCCCGACTTGAGTCCATCGGGCCCGTATCGGCGATGCCCGCGCGATCTGGGAGTCGACGTATGCCCCCCTTGAGCTGCTCCCCCCTGACAACTCGGGTCGGGCGAAAGGGGGGGATAGCAAAGGGGGGGTTTGAGAATCAGCTCACGTAGCTGATTTTCCCGGCGCCTCCCGGCGCCGGAGGCGGCTATGTATCGAGGAATGGGCCCCTCGGTGAGGCCGAAACCAGCTGCATGCAGCAAATTTCGTAACCCCCCTCTCCCAATCCCCCCTTTCGTCGGGCCCGAACAACGTTGCCCCCCTGGCCTGCTCGGGCCACGGGGACACGGCGATGTTGCCGTCCTCCAGCACCGACGTGTGCGCCAGCGCCAGCGACAGGGGCGCCGGGCCGCGGACGACCTGGCTGCGACGCGGGGACTTATCCATACCGACGGCTTGGGAACCGACGTCCTTGAAGGGGAACTGGGACACACAAATGAATACACACAAATAAAAATATCCCCCATACTTTCCCATATTTTCTGGGATTTTGTCTTCCCCCCCACTTCCCATATTTTCCTATATTTTCCTGGGAGTCGACGATTAATTGTGTCTGTGTGTTTCTTTCCCTCCTGAGTCCTGGCGCCCCGGCGGGCGGTGGATATGGACATTTTTCTACCCCCGGGGGCCAGAATATGTCCATGTACGCCGCATGCCGAGGCGCCGAAAACTGACCCTCCAGGCGGTGGTCATGTATGAGTTCCGGCCTCGGACTGGAATCATTGCAGAAAGAGGGACAAAAACAGCACGAACATAAACTGAATCACCAACTTCCGGAGGTCCGCGCGGATCTCTCGGATCGGCGCTGGAGCCACCTGGCAGCGCCTCCGGCGCCGCCGGGTGGCGCGCTCTGCGCGCCAGCGCTCGAGAGATCCGCGCGGACATCCGAGCGCTTATCTACTCACTGATATGTTGATTTTGTTCCCAAAGGGCTCTGCTGATCAGTGCTTCGAAAAGACATCTGAGATTTAGACCTCTGCTAAGAGAACCGACCAGCAACGCGCAACGCTTTTGGAAACGGGGCCACGGCTGAACGGGGCCACGGGCGCGGCGTCTGGCGCGAGGCCCAGCGAGCGGAGAGCCAGAAGAGAAGAGGAAGTGGACGGGAGAGAAAGAGAAGGGGACGGGCAGCGGGGAGGGGAGGGGATGGTGGTGGGACGGTGGCGTTGGCGGAGTCGCCGTGCTCTCGCCCTATGGGGGCCCTCATGTGGGGCCAGATGAAGAGGCAGGGGCCTGCCGAGAAGTGGGAGGCAGAAGAGAACCTCCCCCTCCACGGTGCCCTGCGCTGCGCCTCAGCCTCGGCGCGCATGGCCTTGCGGGCGCGCGCGGCCCGGCGGTTCGCCACGATTCGAGCGATTTGCTCCTCGCTCAGGGGAGGAGGAGACGGAGCACGGGGCAGCGACGGCAGCGGCGGCAGCGAAAGGAGGAAGGATCAGGGGGGGGTCCTAGGAGAAGCGGAGGAGGGAGGCGGGACGGATGAGGGGGGAGGGGACGGGGTCCATCAAAGCGCCGTTCCCATGCTTGAAATTCCTAGGGTGCACGCTCGGCCCGCGGTCAACGAAATGGCACAGGCTGGGTGCGCACGCTTGAGTATGTTGCATTTGCTGCGCAGTGGCTCTCTCAGTAGAAGCCCCCCTAACCTGGCACACCCTTAACCCAGCCCGTACGGACACTGCGCCAAAGCTAACCTTGATGTCGCTGGCGCCCAGGCGACGGCAACCTTTTTGATCAGTAATGTGGCTGGCGCTAAGGCGAGGACGACATGCTCAATGAAGGATGTCGCCAGCGTTTAGGCGACGACAACATTTTCAATCAGACATGGGGCCTGAGCACAGGCCGGAACACCATTCCGAGACAAGCGTTTCGCCAGAATGCAAGTGTCGCGCCCTCTTCGAGCAGGCCCGGCGCGGTGTCACCGAGCTCCGGGTGACGTTAGGTGGGTCGTCCACGGTAGCGGGGGTGTATGATGTGAACAAAAAACTGCATTACAATGTTTCTGCCGTTTCCTGCAGGTTTCCTGCGCTAGCCCCACTAAACGGGGGCACAACTCCTGAAACAACAAACAACAATTGCCATGCAGCGACGCACCGCTGCAGAGCACTTTCCCTCTGCTGCAAGCCCCATACACGAACTGTGCAAATTCTAATGCAGCGCCCCCCACCCCCTCTCAGGGCCACGAGACTTCGAACATGCATCGTCTTGAGTGGGGTTGACGCGCACTGCAATAAAACGTGCGTGGCGAGGTCAATTTACTGACTGGGACCCGACAAATCGTAGAAACGATTCACTAAAGGCACGAATGCCACTGGGTGCTCTGAAGAGAAGCGACCTCCACCAACGCTCCAACCTCAGGGGAAAAAAAAACGCTTTGTAGGAAAAGTGCCTGCCCGCAAGGGTCCCCTGTGACACCATCTACTGTGCCCGTCTCTGCTGGCCTGATTGGAGCCTCGTCTGGACGAGTGATGCTCGAACAACACTGAGAAAGGAAGGAGGCGGAGTGAGGACTCAGAGACCTTGCCGTTCTCGTCGTACTGCGAGCCGTGGCAAGGGCAGCAGAACTTGTTCGCCGAGCGGACCCACGGCACCACGCACCCAAGGTGAGTGCAGGTCGCGTTGATCGCGAAGTCCTTGATGCCGTCCGGCGTGGAGATGAGGTAGTAGGCATCACCCTTGAGCCCCTGTACCAACTCACGGTCGTTGTCCTCTGTCCCATCGCTCTCCTCCACCGCCTCCCCACATCACGGTCGGAATTGTCTTGTTGCTTTGCCAATCGGGCTAAGTTGCTCTGCCTGGGCCCCTGAGGAAACACCCACGGAACACCAGAGCCCTTCCGAACCCAAAGGGTGGGTCCCTTCATTATCTTGACGTTCCGACTGCGACTCTGCATCCTCCCGCTCCCTACAGATATGAGAACAACTGCATGCGCACGAGCTGCTGCAGGTCTGCCCCCAGAAAAACCGTGCGCGTGCTGTATGCTTCTTCTGCGCGGTGAGGCAATCAAATCACCTCGTCCCCAAGAACGAGGGGCCACGATCGGGGGGGACTGGCATAGGGGCGGATGCATCGACCCTGAATCGGCGATACATCGCCGATAGATCGGCGATAGGCCTCTGAGAGTGAGTCCGCACCTTCCTGGGCAGCTTGGGGCTATCGGGCCCCTTTCGGCGATCAATGAGCCGATTGGGGGTCGATGCATCCCCCCCTATGCCTATCACCCCCTATCGTTGCCTCGGGGGTGGACAGAACCCCCCACAGGGACACGTCGATTGGTGCATTGTCTGTTTTCGGTCCTCGAGAGGGCGCCGTGGCCGTTATCTTCCAGGCTTGCGCCCGCCAGGTTTGGGCCTCAGGTCGTCTTCACTGAACCACGTTTGGCTAAAAGGGGGGGTCTGTCCATCCCCGATATTGTCGGGGATGGACAGACCTCCCTTTAGCAAAACGTGGTTCAGTGAGAACGACCTGAGGCCCAAAGCTGGCGGGCGCAACCCTGGAAAATAAGGGCCGCGGCGCCCTCTCGAGGACCGAAAACGGAAAATTCACTCATCGACGTGTCACTGTTGGGGGTTCTGTCCACCCCCGATATTGCCCCCGAAAGAGGGACGCACCGGGGGGTGTCCCCAGGATTCCCAAGGAGGCCCCCACGGCCTTCGGAACACCCTTCACGAGGCCCACAGAGCCCCAGTGGGTCCAAAAACGAGCGAGCAGCCGAGGGCACCTTGGGCCAGGGGTACCTTGAGCAACCCCCGAGAACAGTAGTCGTCTCCACGAAGCCACGTTTTGCTAAAAGGGGGGCCCGTCCATCCGAGGGGGAGGGGGAGGAGGAGGAGGAGGAGGAGGAGGAGGAGGAGGAGGAGGAGGAGGAGGAGGAGGAGGAGGAGGAGGAGGAGGAGGAGGAGGAGGAGGAGTTGCCCCCGAAAGAGGGGCGCACCGAAGGGGGGGCTCCCGCGCCGCCCCCCAGGAGACCCGCGCGGGCCTCCGACCGCGCGGGAGGCCGCTTCCCACAGGGCCGCCCGCGCGGGGCCGCGGGCGCGCGACCGCTCCCGCCAGCAGGTCGGCGGGGCGGCTCGCCTCGGAGCCCGCGCGCCTCCGAGCCCCGACGTCGCCGACACGCCGCCGATGCCTGGGGCCCCAGCTCTTGGCGGCCTCCATCCAGGAGACGCTTCGTGATCTAATCCGGCGGCGGACAAACCTCCCTTTTATAGAAGGAAAAGAACTATGCACATACACCGATTCTGGCCAGGCCCATCCTGAGCCCAGGATCGGTGCATACGCCCTCCTACCTTGGCCAGGAAGACATATGCACCGATCCTGGGTCAAAGATGGGCCTTGCCAGGATCGGTGCATGTGCATAGCTCTCTTCGCCCGATTGTAAGAGACCTCCCCTTAATGAAAAACAGCCTGAGACCGAAACCGACGGACCGGGACCCGCAAAAATGACGGCCGCGACGCCCTCTCGCGAACCGAGAACGGCCAATTCCTCAATCGACGTGTCAGGGTAGAGGTCTATCCATCTCCGATGAATCCTCCTCCTCCATTTGGCATGAGAAGAAGCTGGTCCTTAGGGAGACAGGTCCTCGACACGGGCTCTTTCCGGTGGCCAGCTGTTCGCTTGGTTCACGGGTTCAGGGCCCGGAGAGGGCCTGGGAGCGGGAAAACGGCGGGAAAACTCGGGAACCGTGTTCTTGGACGCCGGACATTCGGGACCGGAAGCATGGTTACGATGCCTCACAACAAACGTTGCCCAAAACCGACAGCGGCCGCGGCTGGGCAGCGGGCCTTCTTGCTCACATGGAGAACGCCCCCGACGGCAACGACAGCGAGTACTGTTCAATATGGACACACTGTCAATATTCCATTCTTTCCGTACCCACCCAATTCCATCGTACCGAATTTCCCGCAATTGAGTGGGGACCGACCGTCCCCGCATTCCTATAGGCCTACCACGAAATATTGTTAGAACCCAAATATGATCGAATAACAAAACCAATGTTCTTAGATCGTGAGCCCGATGTCTGAAACAAGACATTCCGAACAAGAAATGCTCTGAGAACGTTTCGCGGAAACCACAAAAGGTTCTTATGACATGGCTTGGTCGGCCTATGGGCGAGCCAGGACGCTTCGCCACTGCTTGACTCAAGACCCGTCCGCTTCATGGCGGGTCCTTGTGGCCGGCGACCCACTTCTTCAGCGGCACGGCCGCGCCGTTGATGTCGCCCACGGGAGAGGCGCCGCCGCCGCCGCCGCCCAGCTTGGGGAAGAAGTCCGCCGGGCCCCGCTTGCCGTTAAGAGGTGTGGGACACACTTGGCCTTTGGTCGGGCATGCCCCCCTACAGGCGGATGTTGGACGAGAAATGAAAAGAACCCCAAGGATGCCCCCCAGAGGGACAGGCCCGACTTAACCGTACCGCTCCCCCCCCTCCCTCCCTCCCTCCCCTGGGGGTTCAATCCCTTTTGAGTCCCCCCTTGACGGCCGCCAAGGTGTCCGGAATGCCTTCGAAGATGGCTTCAGGAGGGTTCCGACACGGCGCAAAGGGCTTACGACCACCCAAGATGGCCTCAAGACTGCCCAAGACACCCCCACGACACCCCAAGAGGGCCCCACGAGGACCCCCAAGACGACCTGACGAGACAAAAACAATGAATTGATTTCCCATCGCAAAGTTTTGCCTGATTCTCATATTGTCGCCTTTTCGGGATTCTGAAAATCCAACACGGCCCGAAAGACCTCCCACCCAGACTGGCCATAGACGGCCCAAGAAGCCCCACAGAAGGCCTGGAGACACCCCAAGTCACCGTAAGATGTCCCAAGAGGCACCCTAGGTGAGGCCCTCAGGAGCGCCACCAGAGGGGCTCATCAAGAGGTCCCCCAGAAGACCCAAAAGGGCACCCCGAACGCCCCTGAAAAGGCACGAAGGGGCCGCCACCTGGGCCCGCCAGAGGCCCCAATACAGCCACGCGACAGACGCGGAGGAAGAGGAAGGCGAACCAGCAGCAACTACACACAGCGGGGAACGTCCGGAGAGTGCGAAACCGGAAGCCGCACTTCTCCGCGTCTGGGGCCAGCGGAATGGCGCAGGCCTCTCGACTAGAACGCGTAGCCTCCGAGGACCACGAGCGCCGGGACGGCGCACACGGCAACGACGATGAGGTTCATCAGCACGCGCCTATCTCTCTCTCTCTCTCTTGCGGGATTCGGGCACGCCGGGGCGGTCCGTACCGCGATGTGATACGCCGTTGAAGGCGAGGTTGGTCTGTGAATCTGCTTGCGCTTTGCAAGAGGAGCCTCTGTGCGCAAGCAATGCCCGCATCGGAAACGGACCGCCGCCGAGCCCACAATCCATAGCACACCGTGAACCGGCCACGCCGTTTGCCCTGCCTTGCCCCCCCCCCGCACTCGGGGGCGAAAGATGCGTCCGTATCCGCGGCCTCGCGGTCTGGGCCCCTGGGCCACGAACCCATGGATACGGCGCGCTTTTGCGGATGCCCCTCGCGGAAAGTACCCGTGCGACCCCGTGTCCGCGAGACCGCGCCCCAGAGTCCAGACCGCGCGGGCGCTGTGGTATGGATGCGTGCGCCGATCGTGGCTGCCCCTCGGCCTCTGCATGTCGGGCACGAACCCGGTGTACTCGCCCGAGCCAGACTGCAGCACCACCGCCGACTGCACCCGGCCGGCCAGCGGGCTGGCGCGGGGGCCCGGCGCCACGAAGGCGGTGGAGGCCGCCCACACGCCCGCCACGAGGGCCAGGGCCGCGAACGCGGCGGCGCGGCTGTCGCGGACCATGGCTCCCCTCCGCTGGGCGAGGCGGGCTTCTTGTCCTCCGTTGGGAGTTGTATGCGCACACTAGCAGGCGGATCGAGCCAGCAGGAAGGGGGTTGGGAAGGGGGGCGTCCGGGAGAGGGTCTCTTGAAAAGGTGGGTATCGGCCCCAGCCCGCGAGCAAACCTGTCCAAGCGGGTCATGACGGATCTATCACGCAGTATCCTCTGATTGTGGAGCCCTGCCACAGTTTGGCAGGAAGCGTCCAACAGAAGCGAAGAGGTGGAGATGGTCGAAGATGTGCCTTGGGCATGGTTCACATGTTCAACTGCTTGTGCCACCCTCGTGGGGAACGGGCCGCGCAAGCAAGACATCCTGCAGCACATGAGCGCAGCCCTTCTACCACACCTTCACCGCACTTGTGCACGAGGACTAATGCGAAGAATTGCCCATTCGAAAGCAAGCACACCCTTCGCTGGCGAAAACATGCACATCATGCAAGACCCTGCAGCGTGAGAGAAACTCACACCCCGATCGCTCCTGTGCCCCTGCATTTTACCATGAACGAAGCGGATCCTACGGCAACTGTGTCCTGCATTCGGCGGTGGACAAACCTCCCTTTAGTAAATCTCCCCTTAGTGAAAACGGCCTGGGACCGAAACCGACGGACCGGGACCCGCAAAAATGACGGCCGCGACGCCCCCTCGCGAACCGAAGACGGCCAATTCCTCAATCAACGTGTCAGGGTAGGAGGTCTGCCCACCTCCGATGGACCCCGAGGCCTTCCCCCAAAAGACCCGCGTCTCATCCTGAAGCTTTTCTCTGGTTAATATTATTATTATTATTATTATTCCCATTCTTCTTCTTCTTCTTCTTTTTCTTCTTCTTCTCTGCCGGCGCCCTCTCCGGGCCCCCGGAGCCCGAACACGGCCAGGACCTCGGGACCCGCCTCCCGCTCAGGACCCGCCTGCCTCGTGAGGCACTGCCGCTCCACCCTCTGCATCTGCCGCTCCACCCCCGGCTGCCAGCCACCACACTGAGAGGCCCCCGCAGCTGAGAAAACCCAGAGGCACCGATGCCGCTACGCCCCGGACCTCACCTGGGGTGCGTTCTGGCCGTGACTTCGAGGCGAATCCAGCGGTGGCGACGAGGGCCTCCCACGAGGCCCAAAAGGAGGAAAGTGAGGGAAGGGAAGCAGTATGGGTACCTCTTCCTTCTCTGACGAACCCCCGGCTGGCGGCCACCACGCCAAGAGGCCCCCGCAGCACCGAGCACGCGCGACGCCGGGCCACCTCGGCTCGCCTGGCTGGTGCCCAGTCGGGGGCGCGCAAACATGGATTAGCGATCCATGGATTTGGCGCGCGGTCGCCGAATCCATGGATCGGGGGAGGCGCCCTCCCCAAAACGCGGCCGCTGCGTCCTCGTTCGACGGCGAAAACCCGCGATTTTCCATGGAAACGGCACCCGTCGCTAATCCACGCCCCCTTGATCCATGTTTGAAGAGGTCCTAGGACACACAAATGAATAGACACAAATAACAGGATTCCCCATATTTTCCAATATTTTCTGGGTTTTTGTCTTCCCCACCACTTCCCATAGTTTCCCATATTTCCCCGGAATCGACGATTCATTGTGTCTGTGTTTGTTCCCCTCCTGAATGTTTGCGATCGCCTGACGCAGGGCGGCCTCTGCTCGGCCCGTGACCGCGCGGGCACTCGCGCAGCTCCCGCGTGCGGGGTGGCGGTGGGGCGAGGCGGGGGGGCGCGGCCCGGCGTTCTCCTTGTCCAGCGCAACTCTGAGAGGACGAGGAGGAGGAGGAGGAGGAAGAGGAGGAGGAAGAGGAGGAGGAGGAGGAGAAGGAGGAGGAGGAGAGGAAGGAGGAGGAGGAGGAGGAGGAGGAGGAGGAGGAGGAGGAGGAGGAGGAGGAGGGGAAGGAGGGGGAGGAGGAGGAGGAGGAGGAGAGGGAGGAGGAGAGCTGAGGGGAACGATGCGCGACAAGTCTCTGCAGTGACGAAGGCAACACCCGCAGTGGCCGCGGACTCGAGGCGACTCGGAACTCGGGCGGAAAGGGGGGAGAGAAGAAAGAAAAAACGACCAAAAAAGAGCCCGCAGGGTCCCGCTTTTTTGCAACGCCGCCGCTCGCCGCTGGCCCCCAGGAAGCCCCAAGAGGCCCCCACGAGGCTTCCCAGCGGCCCCTGAGAGCTTCCCAGGAGGCCCACAAACTACCCCCAAGAGGCCCCCAAGAGCGCTCGTCGTCGTCGTCGTCGTCGTCGTCGTCGTCGCCGTTCAGGGTCGGCGGCACCGGCCGTAAGGCCTTCGCAATACCAAAACAGAGCCCGCAAGATCCCGCTGTTTCTGCAACGCCGCCGCTCGCCGCTGGCCGGCCTGGCCACCCGGGAGCGCGGAAAACATACGGCCGGGGGAGGAGGAGGCCTCCTGACCGCCCCCCGGGTCGGCGCGCGCCGGCCCTCGGCCCCAGGAAGGTCCCCCTCGGCGCACTGCTCTCCTCCTCCTCCTCCTCCTCCTCCTCCTCCTCCTCCCTCCTCCCTCCTCCTCCTCCTCCTCCTCCTCCTCCTCCTCCTCCTCCTCCTCCTCCTCCTCCTCCTCCTCCGCCTCATCTTTCTGCCTCCGTGTGGCTTCTGGAGTAGGGAGCTCGGCAACGAGAAGAGCTTCTCCCCAGTGGGGGGCAGCCTCTGACCACAAAGCGGTGGGGGGGGGGGCAGCTTTTGACCTGGTGCCCCCCTGGATCCCGATCCATGGGGCTCCTGCGCCAGAGACAGGGGCTTCACTCTCCTCGTCGTAACCTTTTCATCTGCTGCGCCAGAGACAGGGGCCTAACTCTCCTCGTCGTCACCTTTCATCTGCTCCTCCTGCTGCTCCTTTGCGTCGTCACACCCTTCCTCCTCTCTCCCTCCTCTAACTCTCTACTATTCTCCCCCACCGTCCTCCATCTCCTTTCCTTCTGCAGAGCTCCTCCCCATCGCAGCCTGACGCGCGTCGGTAGGACAGGCCAGGCGTTTCGTTTGAGATTTCCTCACCATTTATGATCCTGACGCATAGAAGTGGCAACAGCTTCACGGATGGAGGGTGGGCGGTTGTCACGTGACTCCCGCCTGGGCGCTGCGAGCATGCCTCTTCTGAGCTCGCAGGAGCCTCACGGGTGGAGGGTGGGTCGTTCTCAGAATGTGGCTCCCGCCCGAGCGCCTGAGCACATTCGTCTCACACGTGTGCAAGAGCGTCGCGGTTGGAGGGCAGGGGGGCCTCAAAGTGCGGCTCTCGCGCGAGCGCCGCGCACGGTGGCCTCAAAGCATAGCAAGAGGCCCTCGCAGGACCCCCGCCCATAGTCTTCTCAGACGCCTGCACCAGCTTCGCGGATGGAGGCCGTCTGCCCTTCGAAATGCGGCTCTCTCGCGCGGGTGCCGCGCACGCTCGACGGAAAAAAGAATGCAAGAGTTCACGGGTGGAGGGCGGGCGGTTTTCACAATCTGTGGCTCCTGCCACGGCGCCGCGCACGGCCGTCTTACACCACTGCAAAGAGCTTCGCGGGTGGAGGACGGGAGGTCTTCAGACTGCAGCTCTGGACCTGGCGCCGCGCACACTCGCCTTACAACGGGGTCGTGGCACGGTGCGTTGAACGATGGATTGCAAAACAACCCTTTGTGTTCAATCCTTCTTTTTGCAATCCTTGGTTTTTTGCAATCCTTCTTTTTGCAATCCTTCGTTTGTTTGCAATCCTGGGTGTTTTTGCAATCCTTCGATCGCCAGGACGCAGCAGGAAAGCTGATTCGCAGCGTTGAAGTCCAGGGGACTATGCCTTGGAATTCTTGGGGACTCTCAAGCGGTTGTTTTCCGACTAGGCACTTCGAGCAGTGACAATTCTTGTAAGGACATATGAGGGAAACGTGGAGGGTTTCTTGAAACATCGCTGATGCGTCTTGGGTCTGCACTGGTCTTCCTCATCCTCCTCACATCCTCGTCGCAAACCCCATTCCCCTGCCTCGCTTCCCCCGCCGCACCTTTCCCATCTCAAGGTCCTGCCCCTCCCCAACCCCTGCCCCTGCTTCTGCCCATCCTCTCACAGCTCTCACTCCTCTTCTGATTCCCCCACTGCCCATTTCCCCCTCGCCATCGCTACCCTTCCTGCCCAACTTCAGGCCGCCCAGATGGGTCCCGAGCGGATGTGGTCGGAGGAAGGCACAGCACTGCTGATGCATCGACAATGCGGCGCGCTGCGGAGCCCGATTTCCTTCACCCCGACGTCGCCGACGCATCGCCGATGCATTGGCGATGCGGTGCGATCATCCGCCCCCCTCCTGTACCCTCGTTCCTCCTCATCCAGAAGATCCTCCCCTTTCCCGTCGTGCCCCACCCTCCTCCGCCCTCTTTGCGCCGCCCGTTCCCTCCCGTGCTCCGCCTCCTCCTCCCCGCCCTTCCTTATCCGCCCTGCTCCTGGGGGACCCGGAGCAGTGCCAACACCCCCCAGGGCGTGCGCTGGAGTGAAAGGCGGCACGGAGATGAGCTGCCCCTGGAGGCCGAGTCCAGCCACTCTCCGCCACCCTTACAGGGGGGAGGAGGAGGAGGGAGGAGTGGAGGAGGAGGAGGAGGAGGAGGAGGAGGAGGAGGAGGAGGAGGAGGAGGAGGAGGGCAGAAGAACAACGAATTACACAGACATGGCCTCTTGGAGGTCCGCGCGGATCTCTTGGATTGGCGCTGGACCCTCCCTGGCGTGCGGAGGCGCGCCAGGGGCGGCACCCGAGGCGCCGCCAGGGGGGCTCCGGCGCCGATCCGAGAAATCCGAGCAGACCTCCAGAAGCTCATCTGGCGGCGCGCAAGAGGGGGTACACCCTGCGAAATGCTTAAGAAATCATGGGTTAAGAAATTCATAGTCTCAGAACTTGAATAAAAACCCAACATTTCCATTAAAATCTTAAGAATTGCATTGAAACGTTAAGAATAATCGAGACTCTGGCAGAAAACTTAGGTTTTCTTAAGCATCGCCTAAGGTGTAGGGGGAGGGGGGAGGGC